AAGTATTACGGCGGACAAGAAGGCTTCGAGAGGGTATGCAGGCAATTCTTCGAAGTTGAACGCACAAGGTTTCTGTGCGTCAAAAGACCCGCATCGAGAAACTCTGCGGATGCGGAGCAAGTCAAAAAAGAGGAAGAGGAAGTATTGAGTAGGGCAAACATTCGAAGGCGTATCGAGTGCGGAGACGTGGTTGTGGTGGACGTGCCCGAGGCTGAGGGGATAAGCAGCACGCGCGTGCGCAAGTTGCTTCAGGGATCTCAACCAGCAGAGCAAAAGAGGACCGAGCTCAAGCAGCTCGTCACGCCTAGCATCGCCGAGTATTTGCTCAGTGAGCAGAACATTTGGATGGAGTGACGAACCACTCGATATCATCATAATCATTGAATCGCGGGGAGAGGAGGAGCAGCACGACTTCGGGACCCAGGCTCAGCGCACCACTTCATCACAGCTTTCGACTCCACGCATCATCCAGTCTGGTCTCGTAGCGCTTTTCCCCTGTCTTGAGACGGATGTATGCGTTGACGCTCTGCTCTACCGTCTTCAAGTCGAAGTCGAAGATACGCGTTCCTGCACACAATGGAACACGCTCAGCAGTCGCGATTGTCCACTCTCGACCAGTGCCGCGCCTCACACGCCAGACTCACCATGGTTCCAATTGTCATACTGGAAGTGCAGAGCGAAAGGGCAAAAAGGGCCCATCAGCGCACCAGTCTTGGACGCACACACAATTTTGCTCTGGTGGCCAGCCGGATCCACTCACGTCGTATCCGCCATCTCCCGTCTTCTTCGCGAAGCAGATTGGGACAATCTCACCCTTGATGGTCGTCAAGCCTGAAGGTGCGCACCAATCGTTGCCATGGTCGTGGCCGCTAACAAGGGCGTGGATGCGCGATGTACCGGTGCTACCGCGAGAGAGAGCTGTCAAGTACGGCTGATCTTGGCCGGCTGTGATTCGGGCGCAAGGAGAACAAATGAAGGATGTCATCACTTCTTTGAACATTAGCGAAGACTCAGATCTCCGAATCACA